TGTGAGTTCGAGACCTTGTCTCAAATAAAGAAAGATGGACAGGCCTGTGAGATGGCTTAGTCGTTACAGACATTTTGATGTTGAGCCTGAGGACCTGATTTGGATCACTGAATCCACACAGTGGAAGGAGAGAGCCGACTCACCCAGATGACCCTCTGTCCTCCACACGTCCGCTGTGGCACTCCCTCCTCCTTGCAAAATAAATAAATAAATGTAAATAACATAAAATAAAGTGCAGAGTGGTGATTGAGGAAGACCCCCAACATTAACCTCTGGCCTCCACATGTATATGCTTACACCCAAATAAATGTGTACACGCACATGTAACACACACACACACACACACACACACACACACACACACACGCAGAGCCAAAAAAGTATTTATTGTATACAAATGCTCATGATGCACTTTAGGGAAGGAGCCAATGGAACAGCAGAGGCAGTGTGCCGATGGCTGCTACAAAGATGTACACTTGAATGTGTACACAGAGATGTACAGACAGATGCACATGGGGAAGAGGCCAGAGACGTGCATCCAGGGTTTGTGTGGGCATCTAGGGGAAGTCAGCCGTTCTCTTAGAACTTTCTGAGGCGTCCTCCTGCAGGTGGATGAATCCGGTCTCTTTGCTTCAGCCCCTGGCCCATCTGATTGATCTCTCTGTCCCCTCTTAGCTCAAATGAGGCCTCTTCTGAGGGGCTCTGGGACCTAGCACCTCAGCACCTCTTCCTGAACTTTCTTGTTAAAAGTATTTTGTTTATTTATTATTAGTCTGCATGGAGGTAAGTGCACTTGTGTCGTGCAATGTCCGCAGAGGACAGAAGAGGCTGTCGGATCTCCTGGAACTGGAGTCATGGACAGTTGTTAGCTGCCATGTGGGTGCTGGGATTCGAACCTGAGTCTTCTGCAAGAACAACCAGTGTTCTTAACCGCTGAGCTGTCTCTCCAGCCCCAGTATTTTGTTTACTATTTTTATTTTATGTATATGAAGTGTATTGCCCACATGTGTGTAAGTACACCCGTGTCCTGCAATGCCCATGGATGTCAGAAGAGTGCATCAGATCCCCTGGAACTGGAGTTACAGATGGTTGTTAGCCACCATGTGGGTGTTGGGAAGGGAACTGGGTCCTCTGCAAGAGCAGCCAGTCCTCTTAACTACCGATCCATCTCTCTAGCCCCTTCCTTAACTTTCTTGCTGGTCATCTACCTCCTTCAGATCAGCTCCAGGAGACAACATCACAAATCCCAGCACATAGCAGTACCACTGTGTGCTGACTGCTTACTAAGGGAGCTCTTGGTCTTAAGTGCAGGAAGTCTTAGCTCTGTCTTGAAGGTGTTAACCCTGCCAGGGCCAGAAGCCTGTGGACTTTCACAAGTCATTTGACCCGAGCTTGGTTTCTTTTCCTATGACATGACAAATTGGATGAGAGGCTCTTGAACACCCTTTTGTTGATGAGACTCTGGAAGAATATGGGACTATTGACTCTTGAAGAGAGTGTTTTAAACCCTCCAGTGGAGCGGTAGAGCCCTTGCCTCGCATGCGTGAGTATTGGGCTCCAATGAGACTGTGCTATGAGGAAAATCAAAGTGATTGCCAGTGTTTCCAAACGTAGTTCACAGCCTAGGCCTGCTTTGAGGGTATGGGTAGGAATTTCCTCAGCATGGGCTGTTTGGGTGACAAAAGAGGGGATGGTGCTAATGGCTTCAGGCTGAGTGAAGTAACGTTTTAAAGTCTTATTTGCATGAAATCAAAGAGGAAACAACTTCTGTGTTCCCAGTCTAGACTCTTGTGATCTGTCTGGAGGAAGACACCTAATCATTAACTTTTATTGTGGCCGTATATCGGGCTTTATTACCGAATAATGTAATAATTTGCTGACTCCCCATCAGCAGGTCCGTGGGCAGGAGGATGGAAGTGGCAGCCTTCTAGATTTCCAATAAAGCTTTTCCTCCACTGCCTTCCTGTTATGACACCCAGGGAAAGGCCATAAAATTGATATCTAGTCCCAGGTGAGTCTCATGGTTGGAAACAAAGTCTTGCTCACAGAACAATCAGAGCTACTGTTGTAACAGTCCAGGCTAGAATGAGATATCCTAAACATAGATACTTGTGTTCCTCTCTTTGGCTATCAGGCTAGTGACACAACAGACCCCCCAAAATTGGAATTGCCCCAGGCATGCTGGGAGAAGGAAAGGACTGGAGCTCAGCCAGCCAGGGAAGGAACCTGTGGCCTGAAGTAGGTTCCACATAGTTCGGACAACTCACCAGACCCCACTGCTAGAGACCCTGGAACTCAAGGGATGAGGGCAAGGCCACACCTTGACCAGCACTGCTGAATTGTGCTGAGTTGACATACCTCTTGACCTCTGTTTAAACCTAAACATCATGTTAGGATTCGCCCCACTGAAGATGGACCTGGTGGGGAGGGGTCATCACTGTCCAGTGTGACCACATTGGATAAATCTCCTTTCTTTGCGTTCACTGTTACCTCTTTAATTGGCCTACTGAATGAAGACGGTGGCTGGGCCTAGCTTGTTAGGGCTGCCAGAACCCAGGCTCTGACCCTCACAACTCTGATAACTGTTCCTTTCTGAGGACTCAGCCTGTATCTTCATAGAATGGCGTCTTCCGTGAGCCTCTGGTGTTTGCATTATGTTTAGGGGTTTTGTGGCAGTCACCACAAAGTCAGTAGCTTATTGACAGTCACCAAAGTCAGTTGCCCATTTAGTTATGTGGTAGAGGGCTCTGCTGCTCTCATGGGCAGAGCTCCCCATCCCCACCAGATTGCCCCCAGGACACTGGGGTCCCCTCTCTGTCCGTATCTACATCTGTACGGTTGAGGAGGTATCTTAGGTGGTGCAGAAGTTCATTTCTAAAATCCACCCTGGCTGATGGGCTGTCCCTAATCTTTCTATAATAATAGCTAATTGAGCTTGGCATTTCCTTTTGGCTTTTCCATGGGCTGGTGGCTGACTGCTGTCCCACGTGTAAATGATGCTATTAAAAATTGTTTTTTAAAAACGGAAGCTTTTATTTTTAGCATTTTATTGCGATATAATTCATACACCACATAGTTTTCTCAGAGTACACACATTTTTAAAAATTAAATTAAATTTTATTTAGTGTATGTGTGGAGGTCAGAGGGGGGTCCCACGTAGTCCTGGGGGTCAAACTCAGGTCATCTGGTTTGGGAGCAAGTGCCTTTACCTGCTGAGTCCTCTTGCTGGTCCCAAACGACACAATTCTATGGTTTTAGTATGCCACTCAGTTGTATGACCATCACTAAAACCATTTTTTTTTTCCTTTAATGGACAGGGTCTCATTATGTAGCCCTAGCTGGCCTGGAACTTACCATGTAGACCAGGTTGGCCTCGAACTCATAGAGACCTAACTGCCTCTGCCTCAGCCTCATGAATACTAAGATCAAAGGTGTGTGCTACCATGCCCGGCCTTATAAATAGTTTTTTTTTCTTTTTCTTTTATTTTATAAGAAATATTTTATTATTTTTATTTTATGTGTATGAGTGTATTGCCTGCATGTAGATAGGTGCACCCGTGTCATGCAGTGCCTTCGGAGGTCAGAAAAGAGTGTCAGATCTCCTGGAACTGGAGCTACAGATAGTTGCTAGCCACTCTGTGGGTGCTGGGATTTGAACCTGGGTCCTCTGCAAGAACATCCAGTGCTCTTAACTGCTGAGCCACCTCTCCAGTCCCATAAACAGTTTATTTTCATCCCTGAAAGAAAAACATTTATCCTTTAGTCATCACTCTCCAGGCTAACTGTCCTCCCCCAACAATCACTGTCCGAATCCAGGGTCTTACCTGGCAAGTGCTCTACTACACAGCTACACCCTCAGCCCACGTTATTCATGAAATTATTTAAAATGTCTGTGTTGAAGGTGGGCACAGTAGCATCTACCTATAATCCTAAGCACTTAGTGGGGTAGAGGCAGGGGGATCACAAGTCCAAGGCCAGCCTGGGCTACATAGCAAGTCCCTGTCTCAAAGGGAAAGAAAAGCGTGTGTTGAGACATGGACGGTGGAGAGCTTGCTGCACACCGTCTTCATCGATAGGAATATTCATTATTACATAAAGATACCAGCACATCCCACATTTAAGTCAGCCCACTATCAGTCAAAAGCATAAAAGGCTGTTTGAAAAACTGACAGGCTGCAATCTCAGTTCAGAAGCGTGAACAGCCCAAACTGGTTCTGACCATGCAGAGGCAGAGCAAGGTGAAAGCTTGAGAAACTTGCCTTCTCGGATACCGGGGCTTACACGTTTATCAGAAATGCAGGTGCGATGTTGGACCTGTCATCCCTCTGGGCCTGTTGTAGGCTCTGCAGACCTTGGACCTCATTGTTTATCTGGAGTGCAGTGACTCCTGTGCCTTCCTGTCTGCCCAGGTGCCTGGTACCTCGAGTCCCTCCCTGGTTCAAGGACACCCTGGCTTTTGGACTTGGCTCTCTGGTATCTTGCCTTCCACTGAAAGATCTCTCAGATGCCCACTTTGTGTGCTGGGCAGATACCAGTTTCCCTCTGCCTTTAAAAAAAGTTTATATGAATATATATGTATACAAATGTTTTCCCTGCATACATATACGCACACTCGTGTCGTGCAGTGCCCACAGAGGCCAGAGGACAGTGTCAGATCCTCTGGAACTGGAGTTATGGACAGTTGTTAGCCATCGTGTGGGTGCTGGGAACTGAACCTGGGTCCTGTGGAAGAGCAGCCAGTGCTCTTAGCCGCTGAGCCTTTGCTCCAGTCCCGTCTTCCCCCTTTTGAAATAGTCCCATGTCTCAGCCTCTGCAGCCCCGACCTTCTAAGGATCTATCCTCAGCCACAGGCATAGAGCATACAAAGTATTGGCTAACCTGTAGCCTGGCAGTTCTGTGTGTGTGTGTGTGTGTGTTCACATGTATGTGTGAAGTCCAGAGGTCAACCTTGGTTCATTCCTCAGAGGTCATCCAACGTTTTCTCGGCTTCTAACCAGAACCTGGGGCTCACCTGATAGTCTAAACCAGGAACCCAGTAGAGATCTGCTGTCTCTGCCTCCCCTGAGCCGCCACACCTGGCTTTTCATGTGGGTGCTGCGGATCTAACTTGTGTCTTCATGTTTAGCTAGCAAGCACTTTTACCCACCGAGCTCTCTCTTCAGCCCCTCAGCTGATACTTTCTTTTTACAGCTCTCTGAGTGGTGTCACAGTGTGAATGTGTTGTTGCAAAGTTCATGTGTTGGAGACTGATCACCCGACGCAACCACACAGAGAAGCATGACCTTTACCAGATGATGAGTCGGTCCGGCGCCCTTGGCCTCCAGAGCACATCCACACGCCCCCATTTGGGGACTGGATTTCTTGTCTTTGGAGTAACTTTCTGGTAAGAGGACACATCTGAACCCGCTCCTCATGTCAGGACTCTGTAGATGGACTAAGAGGGTCACTGGACCTCTCTGCTCCTCTACCCAATATGGTCACACTGAATCTTCTTTCTTGGCTCTTCACTATTTGCCTTTCATTAGCCTGTTGACTGGTTGGCTGAACCCAGTTTGTTAGGGATGCCAGAGCCCACCTAGGCTCTGACTCCTAAAAACTCCAGTAACAGAAGGATTGTTTAAGTCAACATTGGATTATAATATTTGAGGAGAGAGCTTCTAGAGCACATTTACCACATTTTCCCCTTATAAAGCCTAAATTATTTTCTTCTGCAATTTTTTGCTCATTGAAATCTTTTTACATGAATTATGAAAATTATTACATACTCTGAACTATCTGGTAAATCATTTAAGAGGAAGAATATTGTATTTCTAGTTTCCTAAAAAGCTCTCTCCTAGAGATGACTCAGCAGTTAAGAGCACTGGCTGTTCTTGTAGAGGACCTGGGTTCAATTCTCAGCACCCACATGGCAACTGACGACCATCTGTAACTCCAGTTCCAGGGGATCCAACACCCTCTTCTCACCTCCATGGGCATGGCATGACGTAGGTGCCCTTACCTACACGCAGGCATTGCACTCATACACATAAAATAAAAATAATAAATAATATAATTTTTTAAAAAGCTCTTTCCTAGAATTCTTGTGACTGGAGGGGGTGCCCTGGTGTTGACACTCTGCCTGTTTAACCCCTCAGGTCTCTTCTCTGCCTGTGTCTCAGGAAGTGGTGCTGGGTACAGGCCGGGACCATCCTCAGCTTCCTTTAGCACTTTCCCTTTTGAACCCTCTCTTTGCACCAGGCACATCATCAATTTTGGTGTGAGCTGAGACTGACAGTCACCTGGGGCTGGACCCTCCTGAGTGAAAATTCCAATGCTTTCCAGAACCACACTGTGAACACGCCCCATCCCCTGAAGAACCGAAGGGAAAAAATAGAATTTTCTCCTCCTTCTAAGGAAACGAGGCCAAAATCACAGAAAACCACACAGGTAGACACGGCAGTTACGACTCCTGCTTCCAAAAGCTTTGTAGCCTTTGGAACAATTCAGTAAGGAGTCTTTTAATCTACTAAAGGATTAAGAACCTGCCCTAGTTAGGTAATGACCCAGTGCCAAGCAAAACCGGGTGGCCTCCAGCAGCAGCCTGGAGCAGCCTCTGTCCTCTTCTGGGGCAGAAATCAAGGAAGAAGAATGGACACAGATGCTAGCCACCTGCTGGAAGAGGCTTGGGGACTGCCTGGGCCAGGAGTTCTGGTCCCCGGGAAGCCGGGTTTAGGCTGTCTTCCTGCCTCAAATCTCTTTGAATGGTGTCTCATCCTTGCAGACCTCCTGATTCCATGTCTATCCATCTACCACAGGCAGAACCCACTTGAGCAGCTGCCCTCATTCTGCCCATGAGTTACAGGGGTTCAGTCAGTCAGTCACCTGAGGCTGCAGAATCTGTATCTTTCTGTAGGTTTGTAATTCATTCCTTCCCACCCCACTGACCTATTTTCTGGAAAAAGGAAATCACCATCAAACAAAAGACCACTGTGCTGGTTAGTTTTTTTGTTAAGTTGACACAAACTAGAGTCACCTGGAAAGAGGAAACTTCAATTAAGGAATGGTTTCTATTGATTGGCCTTTGGCCATGTCTGTGAGGCATTTTCTTGATTGCTGAATGATATGGGAGGGCCCAGCGCACTGTGGGCGGTGCCATCCCTGGGCAGGTGGACTGGGTTGAAAGATAGCTGAGCAAGCATAGCTTACAAGCAGCGTTCCTCCATGGTCTCTGCTTCAGTTCCTGCCTCCAGGTTCCTGCCTTGACTTCCCTTGAATGTGGACTGTGCTTTGGAAGGCTAAGGTGAAATAAACTCTTTCCTCTCCAGGTTGGTTTTGGGCAGTGTTTTATCACAGCAACAAACAAATTATAGCAAATACTACATTCTGTTTCTTTCTTTTTAAACTTGGCCATTGGCACAGTGGATTTACAGTGGAGAACTGAGCAACCCGTGACTTCAGCCAAATCTTGGGTGTCTGAGAGAATAAACATGAAATCAATTCAAAAGGCTTTGACTCAGGAAAGGGAACACCAGAGCATCATCCCCAGGCAGGCATGAAAGAACTCAAAGTGGGTGTCTTTAGTTTGAGAACTCTGAAGATGGCCCTTCCCATCCCGCCGGGCCTGAGGAGGAGGCCAGGGATATGGCCAAGGCTAAACCGAATGCTCAAGTTCAAATCCAGAGTTTTTGCCAAAACCGTTCTGGCACTATGAATTCACACCTTCTCCCACAGCCTCTGGCGATTTCTGAATGTTGCGGAGAATAACCTTCGGGAGGGTTCAGTAGGGGCAGCTGTGGAAACCCATTTCTTTCCATCCTTCACATCCTGAAGTAGCTGTTTGATGTCTGTCAGACGTCAGGAAGAGAGAGAAGGCGCCCACCTTGCGCCCACCCTCCGAGGGTAACTTAGTGTAATTTATGAACCGTCTCTATTGTACATGCTGCCCTGTGAGGTCAGGATCTGTGTCACCATTGAGATGCTTTAAAGGGGATGTACAGCTGGTCTTCAGGGTGAATCAAAGTTAAGTCATCTTTTCTGGCAAGTCTGACTGATGTCACTGCTTTGACCACAGAGGGGTCAGCCATCAGAGGGTGGGTAAGTATGGCCTGAGGCCAGGATTTCAAAGTTCCATTTCCTGTAAATCCAAGTATCCTTCCTGACAATGGTTTCAGGAAACACAGAGCAACGCGAGCCTGGGGAAAGAGTAGTCTGGGCCCATTCCTCTCTTCCCTGTTCTCCTCAGAGTAGGTGAGAAGAGATTTTTCGAAATCCAAATGCACTGTGGGAGAGGAAGGGTCCTCGAACCCCTGTGCGTCCTGTGAGGGTACCGGGCAGCGCCCCTCCTGGGCCAGCTGTGCTCAGGCATAAAGGCCTGCTTGTTTCCTTCAGGATGAATGTAGTGAGAAGGGGCCACTGTTCAAGGGCTCCCCTGAGAACTTCGGGTGCATTAAAAGAGCTCCGGGTGAGCCCGGGAAGCCTCAGGCTCACAGAAAAGAAATGGAGAATGTACACCGGCTAGGGTGTGAACAGGGTACGGTGGGCGGGGCGTGGGGCACGGTGGGCGGGGCGTGGGCCATGATGGGCGGAGCGTGGGCCATGGTGGGGGCGTGGGCCATGGTGGGGGGAGCATGGGCCATAGTGGACCGGACATAAGCCATAGTGGGTGGAGCTTGGGCCATGGTGGGCAGAGTGCAGAGCAGGGGTGAACTGAGATTTGAGCACCAAGGGTGGAGCATAGGAGGGACTGTGGGGATCCAGGGCACCTCACTCGGTCTGCTTACTGCTGGCCCTCCAGGCCCTTAATAAGGCCATAGTTTCCGTGGCCCCTCAGAGGGAACCTCTTCTCTCCAGGTCACCTGTCCCCGTCCCCGTCGCCTGCCACCCCCATCCTTTGCCTTCACTACAGAGTGTGTCCTCTGTTCTGCTCCAAGTCTGACCCTGGGTGAAGTCATTTCAACCTTTTGGTGTCACATCCTCAGGAACATAGATCCTGGGGCAAGTCGGAGAAAATAACACAGAAAGAGGTGAGGGGGGGAAGAAAACAAGCCGGGAGGACGGGAGCTGGGTGCGTGGTGGCACCTGCCTGTAACCCCAGAACTCCAGAGGCTTGCCGGGAGGATGATTACAAGTTCAAGGCCAGCCTGAACTAGCAAGACTCGAGGTCACCTGAGGGGCTAGGGAAGGCCTCTTCCAAGAGAGACAGTGAGACGGAGAGAGGAATTCAAGGACTGCTACGGCAAGATCTTGGGGAAGCCTTTACCCAAAAGAGGGACCAGCCCAGGGTGGGAATAAGCCTGGAACCCCTGATCATCCCAATAGCAGCCAGTGTGGCCAAGGCAGGGAGTGAGGAGAGAGGCAGGTGAGGGGACTGGGACCACCCAGAGCACGGGTGGGCCGGTTCTAAAGCGACGATGGCCCGCAGTGTGCCTTGAGCAGGGCTCATGAGCTGTGAATGGGGTCTTGATGCCCTTGTATTTAGACCCGTAGGCTGTTTTCCCACCTGCTGTGTGGAAGGTGGGATGCAGTGGAAGTGGTGGGCTCATGAGTAGAGGATGTTTGAATGGTCACCAGAGCTGCTGGAGGCCTCGGCCAGGGGGAGGTGATGGGAAGGAGAGGGGAAGGCAGCAGGGCTGGCTGAACCTGCTTCCGTTTAGCTCCTATGGTGCTCAAACTTACTCATAACCTCCACAGAGTAGAATTGGAGCCCCGGACTTCTTCCCAGGGTGCACTGCCCTTCAGTGTGGCCTTTCAGCTCCGCCAAGGCAGAACCTCGTCTCAGGTTTGTAGATTAAGTCTAGGGTTGGCTCTTATCGCAGTTGAGACAGTTACCCCTCGGCATTATGGACACTGGCCCTGCCTCCTCCAGACTCAGTCTCTATGGAGGAACAGAAAGTAAAGACACAAGTTCATCTCAAATGGCCTCAGTGAAGGAGAGGCACAGCGTACTCAGAGGACACACCAGAGGGTATCTGACCTGTCCAAGAACAGTCAAGGAAGGCTTTGATGCAAACTGGAAGTGAGCCGGGTAGGCCCAGAGTCTTCTGGGCACAGTGAAGGCATGCACAGAGGCCCTGGGACAGGAGGGGCAGGACAAGGAGAGGTAAAGGGGGACACGTGTGGGCAGTGTGCTTGTTTGCAGAGAGGATGGAGGAATCTCTGTGATGTCTGGGTCCTCTCTGAAGTTGGGACCAGAAGCCCAAACCTTGGAGAGTGGGGAGGGGTTGTTAAGTTTGTTGAGAAAGAGCACTTCCCAGACTTCTCCAGTGTTGGAAGAAGCTCTGCAGCATCTTCGGCTTGGAGGGAGATGATCAGTTTTACTTGAAGCTGATGGTTTATATTGAAGAGCCAAGAGTCAAGCCCTGAAATCTTCCATGTAGCTCAGAAGACCTCAGAGGCAATCAATTTATTCATTGTTTTATATATTTGGTCTTTTTGAGACAGGGTCTCCTTGTAGCCACAGCTGGCCTGGAATTCGCTGTGGAGACCAGGCTGGCCTCCATCTCACAGAGATCTGCCTGCCTCTGCCACCCAAGAGATAGAATTAAAGGCATGTGTCCAGCTATTTTTTCCTATATATTTTATTTAATGTGTATGAGTGTATTACCTATGTGTGTAAGTGCGCCTGTGTCATGCAATGTCTATGGAGGTCAGAAGAAGGTGTTGGATCCCCTGGGACTGGAGTTATGGGTGGTTGTTAGCTGCCATGTGGGTGCCGGGAACTGAACCCAGGTCCTCTGCAAGAGCAGCCAGCCAGTGCTCTTAGCTGCTGAGCCATTTCTCCAGCCCTATGGGGGATCAGTTTAATCTTTTTAAACACCAAGACCCTGACACCCTTTGCGCGCGCGTGTGTGTGTGTGTGTGTGTGTGTGTGTGTGTGTGTGTATGAGAGAGGGAGGGAAGAAGAGAGAGAGGGAGGAAGGGAAAGAGAGAGGGAGAGACAGACTCTTCAGAGGTAGAATGTACCAATTGTTCAGTTACCATTTTTTCTATTAGTGAAAATTGTAGGAAAATTCAGTTTGTCCAAAGCTGCTGAATTCAGTGCGGACATTACATGTCTCACTGTGACCAAATGCCTGACAAAAAGCAACGTCAGAAAGGAAGGGTTGGTTTCAGCTCACAGTTTGAGGAATGGCCATGGGATGTTCCACAATGGGCGGAGTGTGCATTTGGGACTTTCTACCTCCCAGCTTGGAGGAACAGGAAGCAGAGAGAGAGAGGACAGGAAGTGGAGCTAGGCTAAGAAAGTGCAAGGCCACCACCAATGATTCACTTCCTCTAGCTGGGCTGGGGACCAAGTCCCAAACCCATGAGTCTAGGGGAGATAGTTCACATTCAAACTATAACATTCATTAAAAGGAGATTTTCCACTGGGTGTGGTGGTGCATGCTTTTAGCTAGGCAGAGGCAGGCAGATCTCTGTGAGTTCCAGACCAGCCTGGTCTGTGTAGTGAGACCCTCAATTATGTTGAAGAAGAATGGAGAGCAGGTGGGACACCCAGTGCTCATTTTCAGAATTGTAGGAGTGTTGAGTCACTGAGATAGCCCATACCTTTCACTCCTGAATTCCAGTCCTGGGAATTTCTCCTAAAGAAATAATCTGAATGATAATTTGACAATAATTTGAAGAAAGAAAAGAGCAAGTTTGTACATGTGCCTACGTGGGTACTTAATTACTTCATTGCTTGCGGTATTATAAAGAAACCAGACTTTATTCCGCAGGGGATGGTGTGAATCAGATGGCTTGATGGGAGATATGAAGAACCCCAGCAAGGGAGGGGGTGTCTAAATAAGACATGAGGGACGATGACTAGGGCTGTGGCTGTAGATCAGAGAGGAGGGCTCAGTCAAAGGGATATTTACATGTCATTGGGAGAAGGAAGAAGGGATCTAGACTGAGACTCAGTTTTGGCGGATGGTGAGGTTACCAAGTTGAATGGGGGATCCAAGTGGGTGAGCTAGGGTCTGCCTGTCTCAATAAAGGTTGGAAGAGAGGGAGGAGGGCAACCATCAGCTCCTTTTTTTGGTGTATGAATAGCTAAGTGTATTAGTTACTTTTCTGTTGCTGTGATAAAACACCACAAGTACGGCAACTTACAGAAGGAAGAGTTTATTAGGCTTATGGTTCCAGTGGAATTAGAATCCAT